TTATTTATTTATTTTTTCATTTCACTGGACAAAGGTTTATTCATTTCTTTCTATGTGCTAGGCACTGGGTTGGGCATGGTTAAGATAGAAAAGAAAAAACCTTCCAACTATAAAGTAAAATGTTAATAACATTGTGGTTGAAAACATAACAGCAATAAGAAGATTTAAATCTGGGTTTTTTTTTAACCTCTCTGAAAATTTTATTATGAAAATTTCCCAGCATATAAAAAACTTAGAATTATACAGTAAACATCTATATAGTACTATCCAGTGATTTCTAGCATTTTAACAGTAAGTTTTGAGAGCAAGGTGGTAGGAATTTTATTGCTTAAGTAAATAGCTTTTTCTAAGAGGTGTGGTAAGTATTTAATAGAAGGGAAGTTTAAAAACTTTTACAAGTTTTTTTCCCCCTACAAGGAAATTGAACTTTGCAAAGTTAAAGTGTCTTAGGTGTTACACACACACACACACACACACACACCCACCCATCCACCTAAAATGTTACAGCAGAGACATTGCAGGAAAACTCAGGTCTGTCCTCTTTTCAAGTGAACCAAGTTTTAGCTGGCAGAGAGGCGGGAGGTTCCTTGAAGGAGGCCTCCAGCTGCAGTGGAATCATGATTCTGAGCAGAGGTTGAAAGTGTTGCCTGGGTGTAGGTGCTGCAGGGTTGGTTGCAGGTCAGGAAAGCAGCTCCTGTTTTGGGTGGTCAGACTCTGGGACTCATCTGATGAACTGGTGCAGACTCTCTCAGGAGCTGCTGCTGCATGGTGGAGCCACAGGGAAACCCACCCTGGGGAAGAGCCAGTCCTGTTGGGAGTGTGGCTCAAGTAGAGGCTGTGTGGGCTGCCTTGAAAGTGGTTGTAGCTAGACCATTCCCAAAACCAAACCCAAAAGCTGAAGTATTCCCAAGCCCTGTACTTCATCTGCCTGCCCTTTTTCAAAAAAAAATTTATTAATTATTATAAATACATAATAGTTGTACATTTTTATAAGGTACAGATGATGTTTTGATACAGGCATACAATCTGAATTGATCAAATCAGGATAATTGGGGCACCTGTCTCCTCAGGCATTTAACATTTCTTTGTGTTAGGAACATTCCAGTTCCATTCTTTTAGTTATTTTAAAGTAGACCCTAACTTGTTGTTGGTTATAGTCACTTTGTTGTGTTATCAGATACTGTCCATTCTTTTTTTTTTGATAGAGCCTTAAGCTGTCGCCCTGGGTAGAGTACCATGGCATCACAGCTCACAGCAACCTCAAACTCCTGGGCTTAAGCAATTCTCTTGCCTCAGCCACCCAAGTAGCTGGGACCACAGGCACCCACCACAATGCCCGGTTAGTTTTTGGTTGCAGTTGTCGTTGTTTGGCTGGCCTGGACTGGATTCGAACTCGCTAGCTTTGGTCTATGTGGCTGGCGCCTTAGCCGATTGAGCCACGGGTGCTGAGCCAGATACTGTCCATTCTATCTAACTTTATTTTTGCACCCATTAACCCTCTCAATTTTATCCTTTCATCTCTGCTACCCTTCCCAGCCTCTGGTAACCATCATTCTGCTCTCTGTTTCCATGAGATCAATTCTTTTTAATATTTACCTCCCACATATGAGTGAGAACGTGAGAGATTTGTCTTTCTGTACTTGGCTTATTTCACTTAACATAACGCTCTCCAGTTCCATCCATGTTGTTTCCAATGACAGGATTTCATTCTTACTATGGCCATACAATATTCCAGTGAGTACAGGTACCACAATTTCTCTATCCATTTGTCTGCTGATGGCCACTTAGTTTGATTCCAAATTTGGGCTATTGGGAATAGTATTGCAATAAACATGAGTGTACAATGCACAAAGTTATAATTTAATAAAAAATAATGAAAAAATAAAAATAAATTAAACTCTGAAAAAAAAAAAAAACATGAGTGCAGACATTTCCCCTACACTGTATTTCCCTTCTTTGGTTATATACCCAGGAGTGGGATTGCTGGGTCACGTGGAACTTCTGGTTTAGTTTTTTTGAGGAGAATCCATAGTGGCTCCACTGATTTACATTTCCTCCAGCAGACTACAGGGCTTCCTTTTCTCCACATCCTCGTGCCTGGCCTCTTTTTTTTTTTTTTTTTCGTGGTTTTGGCCAGGGCCGGGCTCAAACCTACCACCCCTGGTATATGGGGCCGGCGTCCTACTCCAGAGCCACAGGCGCCGCCTGTGCCTGGCCTTTTTATCACCTTCCTTCTTGAGATTTCTTCTCTTTCCTACATCCTGCCTACTTTACTTCCATTGATTGGTTCTTACCCTCAACCTTTGATTAAGAACCTCTGCTGGTCCCTACAGACTAAAATCCAGACTCTTCCCTGGCCCAGGAGCAGCCTCATCTCCCGTCCTCTCATCCCTCCTCTCACTTCTGCTGTTTCCACACTCACATTCCAGCCACTCAGGTCTTTTCCTTAATCTTAGAATAGCTTCTCATTTTCTCTGATGAAGAATCTACCACCCTGAGATAATCACAGGTGACATTTCATCCCAGGTATCTTTCTCCGCAGGTCTGCGCTATGTATACACACACACACTTTGTCATGAATAGGACGGTGTCATATATGCTCTGTTAACATGAGCACTTTTTTTTTTTGAGACAGAGTCATACTGTGTTGCCCTCGGTAGAGTGCTGTGGCATCATAGCTCACAGCAACCTGAAACTCTTGGGCTTAAGCGATTCTCTTGCCTCAGCTTCCCAAGTAGCTAGGGCTATAGGCGCCCGCCACAACACCTGGCTATTTTTTGTTGCAGTTGTCATTGTTGTTTTTTAACTGGCCTGGGCTGGGTTCAAACCTGCCAACTTCAGTGTATGTGGCTGGCACCGTAACCACTGTGCTATGGGCGCCAAACACAAGCACTTTTTAAAGACAATTTTTTGTGCTCTGCTCAGAACATTCGTTTTCCTCACATGTGTTTAGCAAATAGCCACTCTGTCTGTGCTCTTTCTCTCCAGCCTGGAGCAGAACCACCTGGAAGGTGTTTGTTTGCTCCCAATTCTGTGCTCATTTAGTCTTTAAACAAGCCTTTGCCGTAGCACTGACAGACCTGACGGACCTTGTTGTGCTTGAGCTGCCCTTCTTTGTCCCCTGGCTAGACAGTGTGTTTATGGCAGGGCCACCCAGTACCAGCGCCCAGAGCAGCCCAGAAACTAGAAGGTCCTTGGTAAATCAGGATTTCTGCAGTTAACAAATGATGATCTGTCGTCCTCAGTGTGCAGTGTGGCGCCTCTTCCCCCTTGACCCCACGTGTCTCCTGAGGCTTTGGCCTTGGGTTTTTCCTCATTTTTGTTTCTTCTTTTTTTTTTTTTGAGACAAAGCCTCAAGCTGTCCCCCTGGGTAGAGTGCCGTGGCATTACAGCTCACAGCAACCTCCAACTCCTGGGCTCAAGCGAGTCTCCTGCCTCCACCTCCCAAGTAGCTGGGACCACAGGCGCCCACCACAATGCCCGGCTATTTTTTGGTTGCAGCCGTCATTGTTTTTTTGGCGGGTCCGGGCTGGGGATTCGAACCCGCCACCTTAGGTGTACGTGGCTGGCGCCTTAGCCGGTTTAGCTATAGGCGCCGAGCCTGTTTCTTCTTTTCATCCATTTTTATGTCACCAGCTGTGATCTCTATCCAGCATCTCTCAAAGCTCGGCATTTGGTCTCTGGGCTGTTGTGTTCAGCCTTGTCTGGGTTCTCCTACCACTTAGTCAGAGTCAGCAGGAAAGAGGCTTCTCCCCCAGACCAGCTCCCCTGCCAGAGCTGCGTTTCTGGCCACACTAATAACCTGTCCGTTGTCAGTTTCCAGGCTGGGAACTGAGATGACACACTATTATCCTGGGGCTCATTTATCACCAAACGCTTTTTTTTTTTTTAGCCTTCTAATTTATATTTGTTATACACACATAGATGCTATACGTAGAACAAGGTTACAACTTAAAAACAAAAACCTTGCATCACCCGCCGCTTATCACCCTGTGTTTCTGTTTTCCCGCGTGCGCCCTGGCTCTGCTCTGTGCGGGCGGTGTTTCCGTGTAACTTTACCTTCCTTGTTATTTTCAGCAGTAGTGGCAGTCGTGGTAGGAGTCCCCTCGTCTTCTAAGTGTGTTCTTCTTCACCACTTGGCCTCATCCTTTGGTTTTAATGTCGCTCCCGTTTCTCCGCCTCTTCCCCTTCCTGTTGCCAGGTGGCCTCTCTTCTCTAGGAGGCCAGGCCCATCTCACTGTTGCCCAGGTGTCTCCTTCATCTCCCTCGCCCTCTGCCACAGTCTGACTGACAGGCTTGTCATTCCCTATCTCCTGTGACATGAAGTCCATGTGATTCTTGGGGTGCCCTCCCAGCCCCAGCTGGCTTTCCCTAAGAGTTTATTTCCCGGTGCACCCTGTACACACTTATCCCTCCCCATAGTCATTCTAGCAAGGACAGCTGCCAGTGTGGCACACTAAGGGTGATGTTGTCCCCATGAAAAGGGCCTTGTGTGCTTTCTCTAGCTTAATTCCCCAGTGGTCCTGCAAAGCTCGGGCTGCTCTTACCTCTCCTTTTTATAGGTAAAAAACAGAGAGGCTAGGTGACACTCTGCTTCTTAGTGGGGAAATTGGCTTTGAACCCAAGTCTCAATTCTGTTGTGGCATCTGTCTTGACCATTGCTACTCTGCCTCCTGGTGGCAGGTGGACATCCTCCCTCCCCACCTTCCCTCCCTCCCCACCTTCCCTCAGCACCCTCTTCTTGGCTCTCCCTCCTGTCTGTAGAAACCCTGGCATGCCTGTTTACACTCAGTTTCCTGGCCCTTGGGAACTCTGATGTTATTGCCTCCTTTTCTGAATCCTCATTGTCCTTAGACAATACTAGTTGACCTAAGATTTAGTTGTTCTTTGTTTCCTGTGTTTCTTGTGGGGACCATATCGTGGGTCAGCTCACCCAGAAGGGGTGCATTTTTCTCCTGACCAGATTCTGCGATTCCTTGGTGACCTTCTTTCCTTTTCAGGGGATGAATTGCCTGAGCTGGACAACATGGCAGATAACTGGCTGGGCTCCATCGCCAGAGCCACGATGCAGACCTACTGTGATGTCATCCTCCAGATCCCTGAGCTGACCCCTCACTCCACCAAGCAGCTGGCCACTGACATCGGTGGGTCCCCACGGGACAGGGGGTGGGAGGGACAGCTCTTGCTTGCTATATCTGTTACTCCGCCTTTGCTGTCCAGGAATCTTATCCCATGTCTCCCCTGAACTTCAACTCTGGATTTGGCTATGAAGCTGGTTCAAAATGCAGGTTTTCCAGGTCCTGCCCCAAAAATTCTGGCTTAGTAAGTCTGGGTGTTTTGGGAAAGGTTCAAGGCTTCTGATGGGCTGCTGAGGTTGGGAACCCTTGAGAGGAGCTTCCGTGAGGGGAGTTTGAAGTGACAGATGTGGCCTGGCTCCATTTACATCAGAATCATTATCCAGTGTTTAATGAGCTCTTGCTGTATGCCACGTACACCCAGGCACTGAGCCCAGCGCTCTCACCTGTCCTCTTATGCAATCCCCAGCTCCCCTGTGAGGTAGGTACCCTCTTCTCCATCACACTGATCAGGAAACAGAGGCACAGGGCAGTTGTATGCCAAGGCCATGTGGCCAGGGTCACTCTGTAGTCTCCGTGAGAAGAGCATCCTACCTCTCAAGTCAGACGGTGTGTCCCATGCTCCGGCCTGCCTCATCAGTGGAGGGCTTCACGGCCCCGCTGTGCTCTGCCGGCGGCAGGAAGTCTCTGCCCGTCTCTTGGTGTCATTCCATTGACTTGCCTGTTCTTTAGCTCAGGCAGCTCTTGAGGTGGTCAGAAGAAAGAGGGGAGCAGCCTTAAAGATCAGCTCCCTGGGGGACCCAGCCAAAGCTTTGACCTGGGGAGCCACAGGCCGAGCCAGGCCCAAGTAGCTTTTGCTTTTTGTTTTGCAGAAGATCAACTAGAAGTGAAAGTACCAGAAGTATTAATACTTCCTTCAGGTCCCAGAGCTGTTGGGATGGAGCCAGGCCTAGAATCCAGCTGTCCCGATTTCCTGACCTCTGTGCGTTTCCTAGTCAGCTCTCAGAGAAGCAGCCAGCTTTTTGGCTGTTTCCCTGGGCACAGTGTTCGGAGGAGAGAGATGAGGTGATTCCGGTGTGCCTTGATACTCCCTGTTAGTGCAGGTGAGGGAATTCCAATGTGCCTTGATACTCCCCGTTAGTGCAGGTGAGGGAATTCCAGTGTGCCTT